AAGCAGTTGACCCTAAGTTAACTCTCCCCCCCCCCTCCCCCCCCCCCGGTGGCCCAGTAATTCTAAAAACAGGACAAAAGTTTTAAAGTACTCATTAGAGCAAGTCTGTGCTGTTTTAGGAATCATGTGAAGTTGCTCACTATTTGGTATTTCAAACCATCAGTCTCATTTACAAACAAGAAACTTCTTTTTTTTTTTTTTGGGTCCAGTCATGGGGCCTGAACTCTGGGCCTGGGCGCTGTGTCAGCTCTTCAGCTCAAGGCTAGCGCTCTACCACTTGAGCCACAGTGCCACTTCTGGCTTTTTTCTTTTTTGCTTATGTGGTGCTGAGGAATTGAACCTAGGGCCTCATGCATGCAAGGCAAGCACTCTACCACTGAGCCACCTTCCCAGCCCGATATCTCCAGTCCTTTTAAGCAAGCCATTTTCCCCAAATATATATATTTTTTGTGCTGGTATTAAGACTCGAAGTTAGGGACTTAATCTTTCGCTTAGCTTTTTTTCCTTAAGGCTGACATTTCTACCACTTGAGTCAGAGCTCCACTTCCAACCCTTTTTGTTTGTTTGTTTGTTTTGTTTTTGTTTTGGGTCATGGGGCTTGAACTCTGGGCCTGCACACTGTCCTTCAGCTCTTCAGCTCAAGGCTAGCACTCTACCACTTGAGCTACAGCGCCACTTCTGGATTTTTTTGTTTATGTGGTGCTGGGAAACCCAGGGCCTGGTGCATGCAAGGTAAGCACTCTACCACTGAGCCACCTTCCCAGCCCTACTTCCAGATTGGAGATAAGAGTCTCAGACTTTCCTGACAGCTAGCTTCAAACCATGGACCTCAGATCTCAGCCTCCTGAGTAGCTAGGATTACAGGTGTGAGCTGCTGGGATCCAGAACACAAATATTTTTTAAATCATAGGCTTGTTGAATGCATAAGTTTGTGATTTGAAATAAACAAGAATGACTTGTGTAACCAAAATTATTTTATTTTTGAGAGAAAATCTGACTGTATAGCCTTGGCTGGCAGCAAACTCATCAAACTTCCTGCTCAACCTTCCAAGTGCTGGGATTGGGGCTGGGAAGGTGGCTCAGTGGTAGAGCGCTTACCTTGCATGCCTGAGGCCCTGAGTTCAACTCCTCAGCACCACATAAGCAAAAAGAAAAAAGCCGGAAGTGGTGCTGTGGCTCAAGTGGTAGAGTGCTAGCCTTGAGCTGAAGAGCTGAAGGACAGCGCCCAGGCCCAGAGTTCAGGCCCCACGACTGGACCAAAAACAAACAAACAAACCAAGTGCTGGGATTACAGGCATGCATCACTATGCCTGGCTTTAAGTGTTTTAATGTGGAAAAATTGAAATGTGGGCTGGGAATGTGGCCTAGTGGTAGAATGCTTGCCTAGCATGCATGAAGCCCTGCATTGCATTCCTCAGTACCACATACATAGAAAAAGTCAGAAGTGGCACTGTGGCTCAAGTGGTAGAGTGGTAGTCTTGAGCTGAAGAGCTGAGAGACAGTGCCCATGCCCTCAGTTCAAGCCCCAGGAATGGCAAAAAAAAATAAAATGCATGTGAAAGAGTTTCATGAACCCTCCCTCTGCCCCACATGCCCATCACACAGGGTCACCAGACCAACCTCGTTTTGTCTCTGCTCAGCACTCCTCTCCTACCTAAAAGTCCAGGCATGCTCCACCTACAGGCAGTCCATGATGTCTTTAAAATATCAAGCAATTGTGCTCACGCCAGTAATCCTAGCTACTCAAGAGGCTGAGATTTGAAGATTGCAGTTCAAAGCCACCCTGGGCAGGTAAATCTATGAGATTCTTCTCTCCTATGAACCAGCAAAAAGCTTGATCCATGGCTCAAGTGGAAAAATGCTACCCTTGAGCACCAAAGCTCAGGGGCAACACCCAGGCTCAGAGTTCAAGTCCCAATAATGTATACACACACATCCTAGTAAGAGAAAACAAAATACCAGGACTCTTAGTAACCCAACTTCAGTGCTCTATTAAGACTTTAAGATATAAAAATTCCTTGGTGCAGACCAAAAAACAAAACAAAACTGGCACCAATTTGCCAGGCGCCGGTGGTTCACGCCTGTAATCCTAGCTACTCAGCAGGCTGAGATCTGAGGATCACGGTTCAAAGCCAGCCTGAGCAGGAAAGGCCGTGAGACTCTTATCTCCAATAAACCACTCAGAAAACCAGAAGTGGTGCTGTGGCTCAAGTGGTAGAGTGCTAGCCTTGAGCTGAAAAGCTCAGGGACAGCGCCCATGACCGACAAAAAAAAAAAAAAATTCCTCGGTGCAAATGTTCACATTTCTCTGGTTGTCTCTTAAACTATTTTCCTTGTGGGTTTGAATTAATATTCAAGCACAATTTATCCCTACATATTGGCCTATAGTGTCCAGTGCTTCTGTGTCTTTAATGTACAGATCTTTTTATTTATTTATTTTTTGTCAGTCGTGGGGCTGTCCCTGTGCTCTTCAGCTCAAGGCAGGCACTCTGCCACTTGAGCCACAGTGCAACTTCCAGTTTTCTAGTGGTTTATTGGAATTAAGAGTCTCACAGATTTTCCTGCCCCTGCTGGCTTTGAACCGTGATCTTCAGATCTCAGCCTCCTGAGTAGCTAGGAATACAGGCATGAGACACCGATGCCCAGCTTATGTTTCATTTTTATTTTTTGTTGTAGGGCATGGAACTCATGCTCTGCAGGCTCCATTCCTCCATTCCCTGGTGGTGGTGGTGGTGGTGGTGGTGGTGGTGGTGGTGGTGGTGGTGGTGTGTGTGTGTGTGTGTGTGTGTGTGTGTGTGTGTTTGTGTTAGTACTAGAACTTGAACTCTGCCTTGTGTTCACTTAGCTTGTGCTCTACCACTTGAGCCACTGCTTGCTCTACTACCCGCTTTTTGCTAGTTACTGGAGATAAGAGTCTCACATACTTTTTCTTTTTCTTTTTTTTTTTTTTTTGTTGGTTATGGGACTTAAACTCTGGGCCTGGGTGCTGTCCCTTAGTTCTTTAGCTCAAGGCTAGTGCTCTACCACTTCATGTTTTCTGGTGGTTCATTGCAGATAAGAGTCACAGACTTTCCTGCCCAGGCTGGCTTTGAACCACAAGCCTCAGATCTCAGCCTCCTGAGTAGCTAGGATTACATACATGAGCCACTGGCATCTGGCTTCTCACAAACTTTTCTGCCTAGCCTCACTTGGAACTATGATCCTCAGGTCTCAGCTTTCTGAGTAGCACAAGGCGTAAGTAATCAGTGCCCAGCAAAATGTATCATTTCTAACTGGGTGCCAATGCCTCGCACCTGTAATTTTAGCTACTCAGGAGGCTTAGATCTGATGATCATGGGAAGGAGGGCCCATAAGACTCTTATCTCAAATTATCCACTAAAAACCTGGAAGTGGTGCTGTGGCTCCAAGTGTTAGAACTCTATCCTAGAGAAAAAGATCTCAGGGGTAGTACCCAGGCCCTGAGTTGAAGCCCCATGACTGACAAAAACGAAATAAGTATAATTTCTTTTTTGAGGGGGCAATGGAACCCATGGCAAACAATCTACCACTTGAGTCACATGCAATAATTGGTCATTCTAAGAATTTTAGTTGTGTCCTTAATGGTTCTGCTTTTGCAAATAATAAAAATTTGCAGGTGGTGTATAGCTAAGTAGTAGAGCATTTTGCCTAGCATGTGGGGGCCCTGGGTTTCATTCCCAGTACCAAAAATAATAATAACAATAATAAAAAGCTGTGTATGGTGGTTCACAGGTATAAACCCAGCACTCAGTACTCTGAGGTGTGAGGGCCATTTATTTGAAGCCAGCCTGGGTTACCTAGCAAGATCTAGTCTCCAAAACAAAACAAAAAAGGACAGGTGCTGATGGCTGCTAGCTACTCAGGCAGCCGAGATCTAAGGATCCTGGTTCAAACCCAGCCTGGACAAGAAACTCTGTGAGATCTTATCTCCATTTAAACACGAAAGCTGGTAGTGGAGCTGTAGCTCAAGTGGTAGAGTGCTAGCATTCAGGCTCATAGTTTAAGTCCCAGTACTGGCACACACACACACATATATATACACACACACCCACACACAGTTGGGTGCTGGTGGCTCACAGCCTATAAGCTTGGCGACTCAAAAGGTTGAGATCAGGTGGATCACAGTTCAAAGTCACTCCAGACAGGAAAGACTATGAGACTCATCTCCAATTAATCAGCAAAACACTGGAAGTAAAATGGTGACTCCAGCGATAAGTCTCTAACCTTTAGGAAAAAGCTCAGGGACAGCGACCAGGCCCTGAATTGAAGCCCCAGGACACACACACACACACACACACACACACACACACACACACACACACACACACACACACACACACACACACACACACACACACACACACACACACGAGACAATAACAATGATTTCCAATGTCTGTCTCTGTAAATCGAGGTCTACAAAGACAGCAATATTTGAGTTAACACATATATCCGGTGTCTAGCACAGTGCCTAGATAAAACAATCTCTCCTACTGATGTTCTATCTTTTGAATGGATCTGTTGCACGAGTGAATAAAGGATGAATAAATGATGTAGGCTTTGGGCCCCGTCTCAGTGCCCTGGCCATGTCTGCTTTGTGAAATGTGATCATACGATCTTTTCTTCTCTCCACATCGATCCAAAGATTAAAGAAGGCGATGAACACTTACAAACTACTTGGCACGTGTCAAGTTGAATTCTCCAACAGTTTTATTTACTTGAAAGCCCTGGCGTTCTGTGGCAGTGGCAGCCAGCTGGGAGCCCAGGCTGGGGACGGGGCGGAGCCGGGATGCAGGCGGGGCCAAGCATTGAGGGCGGGGCCAGGACGCGGCTGGGGCGGAGACAGCAGCTGCGGCGCCGCGGGCCCTGTACCGCCCAGGACGTCCCCGTCGCCTCCGGCCCCGCCTTCTGAGGCGGGACGTGCGCGTTTATTGGCTAGTGCAGATGAGAGGCGGTCACCATTGGCCCAAGGCGCTGTCTGCTTGGCGGGCGGTGCCCGGACGCAGGTGCCGGCTGGAGCTGAGCGAGAGGCGCTGACGGGCCGGGCCGGGCCGGGACCCAGGCCAGGGTGAACCGAGGGGCCTGTGCGGCCGCCCGGCCCGGCCGCGGATCAGGTAGGCACGGGAACGGTGGGCTGGTCTAGAGGACTCAGGTGGGTCGCAGATCCCGGGTTCGAGGCCCGAGATCGGTCCCTGGGCAGGACAAGCCAGGCTTGGGACCCTTGGCCTCTCAGCCTTCTCTGAGATGCGGGGATCTCCATTTCCACTTGGAGGACGGGGAGAGGTCTCCGGGCCTCGTCACACAGTGAGTGCCTCTCTGAGCCTCGGTTTCCCCATCTGTGAAACTGGGTCATCCATCCCAGCGCCAGCCTGATTTGGGAGGTGGCTGTTAAGGACAGCGACCGGCACACAGTAGGGTGGCAGGAAGTGGCTAACGTCCTTCTGGTAACCTCCTCCTTCAAAGGGACGGTGCCTGGAACTTGGTAAATATTATAGATCCAAACACCGAGAACAAAGCTACTTTGAATCCCTGTGCCCAGTGGTGTTTGTTCAAAATGGTATTTTCACAATTCATATGGTTAGCTTTTTTTGTTTATTTTTACTCAGTCCTCCAGGAAGGAAGCCCTACTAGGTGGAAATAACTAGAAATGGTTCCCGAACTACTGATAGGAAGTTGAAGCTCTCAGAGAAGTTATGTGTCTTGCTCAGGGCCACACAGCAAATAAGAAGCAGAGCTGTAGCTGGGCACTGGTGGTTCATACCTGTAATCCCAGCTGAGATTGAGGCTGAGATCTGAGGATCTAGGTTTTGAAGCCAGCCTGGGCAGAAAAGGCTGTGAGACTCTTTATCTTCACTTAAAACCAAAAGTGGAGCCGTGGCTCTAATGATAGAGTGCTAGTCTTGAGTGAAAAAGCTAAAAGACATCAGCCAGACTCTTGAGCTCAAGCCCCAGTACTGTCACCAACCAACCAACCAACAAACAAAAAAGCAGAGCTGTGGTTAGATTTGGCATCTAGGGCACCCAGGAGTCTTTCTGTGGAGTGAATGTCTGTCTTTTCCCTTTTTTCCTAAAATAAACAAACAAACAATGGACAAGCATCTGTTACTACATTGCATGAACGGTGTGTTTTCATCTCAAACCTTTCCAGCACTTTTGTAAGATTTAGTGGATGGAGCTAATACTTAGGAACTATTTTTCCTTTTTTTTTTTTTGGTTTGTGCCAGTACTGGAGCTTGAACTCAGGGCTTGTACACTGTCCCTTAGGCTTTTTTTGCTCAAGACTAGTGCTCTAGCATTTGAATCACAGTTCCACTTGCAGCTCTTTGGTGGTTAAATTGGAGATAAGAGTCTTTTTTTTTGGGGGGGGGGCGGTCTGGTCATGGGGCCTGAACTCTGGGCCTGGGCGCTGTCCCTCAGCTCTTCAGCTCAAGGCTAGCGCTCTACCACTTGAGCCACAGTGCCACTTCTGGCTTTTTTTTTCTGCTTATATGGTGCTGAGGAATCGAACCCAGGGCCTCTGGCATGCAAGGCAAGCGCTCTACCACTGAGCCACCTTCCCAACTCCGGAGATAAGAGTCTTAATGGACTTTATTACTTGGGCTAGCTTTAAACCACAAACCCTTAGATCTCAGCCTCATGAGTAGCTACGATTATAGGTATAAGTAATGGGTGCCCAGTTAGGGACTTCTTAATATTTATGAGTTTAGGAGCTGGCTGTTAGGACTTCATTTCATAGATAAGAAAACTAAAGCTCACAGAGTAAAACAAAAGCCTGAGATTACACTGTGGGAATCTAGGGCCCTCTGACTCCTCTTAGCTTCCTGTGGGCAGATGGGGAAAAGATTGGGTTGTTCCAGTGCCACCCCAAACAGGCCTAGCTAAAGGTGATTAAGTTTCCAGGCTTCTTCTTAAGAGACCCTCACCCCCTCAGGAAACACAGCCTTTGGGCTCCATCAGTATATTTGACAAAAAGAGAAGGCCTATAGAAATCAAGTAACTTGAAGGACTACAGCATCAGTTGGAGACAGGATTTAAAGACTTGAGGCCCAGAATGACTCACTGGACTGCTTAAGTTCAAATCCTGCAGCTGGGTACTGATGGCTCACACCTATAATCCTAACTACTCTGGAGGCTGAGATTTGAGGATTACAGTTCAAAGCCAGTCCAGGCAGGAAAATACATGGAATTCTTATCTCCAGTTAACCCCCCCCCCCCCCCCCCCCCCCCGCCCTAAAAAACTAGAAACAGAGCTGTGGTTTAAGCGGTAGAGTACTACCTTTCAAGGAAAAAAGCTGAGACAGCACCCAGATCCCAAGTTCAAGTCTCTCTTTTTTTTTTTTGGGTCCGGTCATGGGGCCTGAACTCTGGGCCTGGGTATTGTCCCTCAGCTCTTCAGCTCAAGGCTAGCACTCTACCACTTGAACCACAGCACCACTTCCGGCTTTTTCTTTCTGCTTATGTGGTGCTGAGGAATCGAACCCAGGGCCTCAAGCATGCAAGGCGAGCGTAACTGAGCCACCTTCCCAGCCCCCAAGTCTCAACACCAGCAAAAAAAAAAAAGAAAAAGAAAGTTCAAATCTTTTGTGGCTGTATGACTCTGGGCTATTAGGGGCCCCTCTCTGAGCCTTAATTAGCCTCTTTCATCAAAGGGGGTTAATTATTTAGACTCATGGTTTTATTGTGAAGAATTGATAAAAACCCATCTGAGAGGTCCTAGAGCTAAGTTTGATTGGCCTTCACCTAAGTCTTGCATCTAAACCCAAGTATTTGGCTTGTGTCTGGGCTGAGACATGCAACAAGCATGTCTATGGCCACTGTGTGCGAGACACAGGGCAGGGATCAGGTCTCACCAGCTTCCTCCTTTCCAGAATGTACTGAAGTGTGGGAAGTGGATGGAAGAACAGATAGAGGGACTCATTGGGGCGGGAGGGTAAGGTAGACGTGAAAACGTTTTAGCCAGAGTGCTTGGGGAAAGCTTCTTTCTCAGGGAGGTGACCTTGAAGGGAATACTTAAAACAATTGTGTCTGAGTTCCATGAGATGAGACAGTATCATCTGTAATAAACCTTTAATAAACCTGTGAAGCCAGGGCCTAGTGGATCACAGCTGTAATCCTAGCTACTCAGGAGGCTGAGGATCACAGTTTGAAGCAAGCCCAGGCAGGAAAGTCTATGAGACTCTTATCTCCAATGAAGAAGCAAAAATGTAGAAGTGGAGGTATGGCTCAGGTGGTAGTAGAGTTGTGGCTCCTAGTACAGCACTAGACTCAAGCTGAAAAAGCTCAGGGACAGTGCTCAGACCCCAAGTTCAAGCCCAAGACTACAAAGCAAAACACAATCCCTTTCCTGTGATTTCAAGCTTGGTGATTTGTAATCCTGATATTAACAGATTTATCAGTGTTTAGATTTTCTTTCAGCTCATAGTTTCTAACATACATGACCTGTGATGTTGAGATATATATATATATATAAAATACATATAATATATATTATATGTTTTTTTTTCTTTGTAGTGCTGGGGTTTGAACTCAGGACTTATAGCTTGCTAGGCAGGTGCTCTACCAGTTGAGTCACACTTCTAGTGCTGGAGCCATGCCCCAGGCCTGTTTTGCTTTACTTATTTTTCAGATAAGGTCTTAGGTTTTTGCCTGGGGCTGACCTCAGACTTCTGTCCTCCCACCCGTCCTCCTGCATAGTTGGGATGGCAGGTGCACCCCTCCACACCTGGCTTGTTGATTTATATAGGGTCTCACTAACTTTTTGCTCTGGCTGGCCACAAACTGTAATCCATCTGAGCTCCACCTTCTGATGAGCTGGGGTTCCAAGAGTCACCCACTGTGCCTAGTTTTGGTTTTGGTTTTGTGTTTTGCTACTATGTAGCCCAGGCTGGCCTGAAACTCTAAATCCTCTTGTCTCCACCTCTCTAATGCTGGGATTATAGGTGTGCATTACTACTATGGGCACCATGATGATTTTTTTTGGGGGGGGTCCGGTCATGGGACCTTGAACTCTGGGCCTGGGTGCTGTCCCTCAGCTCTTCAGCTCAAGGCAAGCACTCTACCACTGAGCCACCTTCCCAGTCCCTGATTTTTGTTATGTTTAATTGCTTGAAGAACTGCTTAGACAGACGATCAAAGGGCAGAAGGTTGGGACTTCTTCTGTGCACTTGGAGGGGCTTGAGAGGGCTGAGCTGTTTTCCTACTGACCTCTGTGCTGGAAGTTTTGCTCCCAAAGCCTGGGCTAGGGACTGTAGCATACGTGTGTAGCAACCATGTTATCTCAGGCTTCCAGCTTCCTCCCAGGCTCCTCTGGACTTTGCCTGATACCTGCTTATCTGGACTGTGGTAGCCCAGCTGTGAAGGCCAGCAGAGCATCTTGTGCTTCGGTCTGAGCACTAAAATGTAATCTATCCATAATGTGTCTTGTGTCTCTCTTTTTGGTTTCCGGTTTAAATAGTTAAAAGCTGACTTGAAATCAGATGATACTTCAAGTAAGGGCTGACAGGCCCAGTCATTTGTGAGTTTCTGAATACTAGGCATGTTACTCTGGGCTCTATACAAGGCAAGTTAGGAGACTGTGATTCTAGGCTCTGGAGCACCTATATTGGTGTCAAAAGGGGCCTCTGGACAGGCCTCTTTTCTCTCCTGAAATTTTCAGAGGAAAACGCACATAGGGATTGGAAAGTCCTACACCAAGACTTACTTGCTTGGCTCTAAGGTACAGAAAGGTGCTAAGGTTCCTTCAGTTTATTTTGGTACTGGGCTTTAAGTCAGGGCCTCAGGCTTGCTAACCAGGTGCTCTGCTACTCAAGCCATGTCCCCAGCCTTTTTTTGCTTTATTTTTTTTCTGATAGGGTCTTACACTTTTTATCCTGGGCCAGCTTCAGACCTCAGTCCTCCTTCTTAACTGTCTCCTACCTTGCTTGGATGATAGGTGCTACCATGCCTGGCTTCTTGGTTGGGATGGGGATCTTGCTAACTTTTTGCCATGAATGGCCTCAAACTGGGATCTTCCTATTCTCTTCCTCCTGGATAGCTTGGATTACAGGCATGACCAGCCATGCCTGACTTTCCACTTAGAAGTTTCTTTTGGTCAGACCAGGGCCAGAAAGCAGAATTCTCCAGAAGTCATCTAGAATGGACTTCATAATTGCTACCTAAGGCTCCCACTGTCTCCCTGTAGCCGAGAGGACAGAGGCTGCCACCGACTTGCCTGGCCTGGGCCACTTCCTTGATGGCCTGAAGTGTCATTGCATGGCCCGACAAATGGCCAGATCAGAGTAGTGACTCACCATTCCAGCCATGAGGCCAAGTTTATAGCTCTGTTCTTTTCCTTTTTGTTTTGTTTTGGTTTTTATTGGTGCTGGAGAGAGAACCTACGGCCTTGAACATGCTGAGCAAGTGCTCTATCACCAGCTACACCCCCAGCCCCTTGGCTCACATGCTGAGAGCCCAACTCTAGGAGTTCCCTCTACAATGATTGGTGGATCTAGCACAGTTCTGGCCTCCCCTGGGATGGGATCCAGCACATAGGAAGTGCTCAATAACTGTCAAATGCTGTTCCCAAGTCTGGAAAGTTCATGTGAAAACTTCCTCTAGGCCTCAGGCCTAGATGGTGGAACCTTGCTTGCTTTTCTTTTCTTTTCTTTTTTTTTTGGTCTTGGGGCTTGAACTCTGGGCCTGGGCACTGTCCCTGAGCTCTTCAGCTCAAGGCTAGCACTCTACCACTTGAGCCACAGTACCACTTCCAGTTTTCTGGTGGTTCATTGGTGATAAGAGTCTCAAGGACTTTCCTGTTTGAGCTGGCTTTGAACCGTGATCCTCAGATCTGAGCCTCCTGAGTAGCTAGGATTATAGGCGTGAGCCACTGGCACCTGGCTTGCTTGCCTTGTCTTAGGACAAAGAGAGATTGTTTTTTTTTTTCCCTTGAGCCTCTATTGCCTGCCAGGCATAGAATCCTCCAGTCTCTGTAACAGAGCTCTATTTCACAGATCTGACAAACGAGGCTCAGTCAAGTCTCTTTGCATGTTTGCTACAGTCCTGACAACTCTAGTCCATTGGGCTCACTACTTTTGCCCCTTGATCGCTCTGCTGGACTCTCTCCAGGCTCCTGGGACCATGGGCCTCGGGCCCTGAGGACACAGGCTCCCTGTGGCCATGACGACAGGCGACTGCTGCCACCTCCCGGGCTCCCTGTGTGACTGCTCTGGAAGCCCTGCCTTCTCCAAGGTGGTGGAGGCCACTGGCCTTGGGCCACCCCAGTATGTGGCACAGGTGACTTCAAGGGATGGCCAGCTCCTTTCAGCCGTCATCCGGGCCTTGGACACACCCAGGTAAGTGGTAGCCACATGGTGGCCTGACCTTTTGTCCCCTTTTCTCCCCCTGGGCTGAGTGATTTTCTGCCAATGTGGGGTGTAGCCATTGCCAGAGGCCAGCGTGAATACTCCAAGATGCCAGGCAGTAACTTCAACATGGGAACAGAGGCCCAGGCTGAATAGCTCTGATTCCCCCAATCCCGGGTAATTCTGGGACACAAGAGGGTCCCAGGTAAGCAAGTCACTCACTAGGTTTTGGTAAGAGTCAAGCCCTACACTCAAGCAGGCACCTTGGCACTGGGGCTGTTGGGCTTCCAGTCCAGGGCCCCCCACTTCTGTCTGTCTTTCTGTCTCTGTCTGTCTGTCTCTCTTTTCTCTGTCTGGCTAAGTGACCTGGGTCATTTCACCCCCAGATCTCTAAAATAGAGTTTTGTTTGTTTGTTTGTTTGATTGTTTGTGTCAGTTCTAGAGCTTGAGCCCAGGGCTCAGGCACTGTTCCTGAGCTTGTTCATTCAAGGCTAGTGCTCTACCACTTTGAGCCATAGCTCCACTTGCAGCTTTTGGTAGTTAATCGAAGATAAACATTTCATGGCTTTTCCTGTCTGGGCTGGCTTCGAACCTTGATCCTCAGATCTGCACCTCTTAAGAAGCTAGGATGACAGATGTGAGCCAGCCATGCTCAGCTTAGAAACAGCATCTTCTTCAGTTTGTTCTGAGAACATGAAGTGATGGCAGGTTACCACCCCCACTTACTCTGTCATTGGGCAGCAGTGTCAGCTGCTCCAAGATGTCATACCCAGATGTCTTGACTGGTTCTGTGACTGTAAAAGTCAAACCTTCCTTCCTTCCTTCCTTTCTTCTTTCTTTCTTTCTTTCTTTCTTTCTTTCTTTCTTTCTTTCTTTCTTTCTTTCTTTCTTTCTTTCTTTCTTTCTTTCTTTCTTTCCCTCCCTCCCTCCCTCCCTCCCTCCCTCCCTCCCTCTCTCTCTCTCTCTCTCTCTCTCTCTCTCTCTCTCTCTCTCTCTCCCTTCCTTCTTTCCTTCCTTCCTTCCTTTCTTGTCCTGGTCAGGGTCTGACCTATTTCACTTATGGCTAGCACTCTATCATTTGAGCCACAGCTCCACTTCTGGCTTTTTGATGGTTCATTGGACATAAGAGTCTCATAGACTTTCCTGCCCAAGCTGTCTTCAAACCATGATTTCTAGATCTCAGCCTCCTGAGTGGCTAGGATTGCAGGCATGAGCCATGATGCCCAACATTATGCTTTCTCTTCTGTTGTGGCTCCAGGAGCATTCTCTGGCAACAACACTGAGACTGTGGACAACTCCCCAAGTCCCCCTCCTTCCATTTCCTCCTAATCTCTGTTCTTTGTGTTATTTTCCTGCCAGAATGTTATGAGCAAAAGCCGTTTTTCCTGTGTGTCACCTCTGGAAGGGCAGTGTAGCCACAGCCTAGGATGGTCAGGTCTGAAGTGAGAATTGATGGATGCTTTTCTCCACGTTTGCAGAGTTTTAGGAATGAACATTTGCACAAACAAATTGAAATTTCTCCATGCCTTGGCATAACCAAATGTAAAATGGGGACCAAAGGCAGGGCATGCTGGTGCATGCCTGTAATCCCAGCTGCTCAGGAGGCAGAGGTAGGAGGATCATAGAAAGCCTGAGAGCCTATCTGTAAAGCAAACTAAATGCAAAAGGGCACCTGTGTCCCCAGCATGAAATCCTGAGTTCATATTCCAGTACTACCACAAAGTAGGAAAAAAAATGGAGTCTGGACAGTTTTGAGAATGAGATCAGGCGCTTGTGCCCAGTGCATAGCCAGTGCTTTATAAATATTAAGATTTCCTTTATCCAAATTTGTTCTTCCCAAAATTTCCAGGATTTCTCAGAATAAATTCTAAACTGCTGTGGCTCTTCCTTCCTCCAGGTTCTTGTGATTTCCGTTTCCCTAAGCTGCTTTCTGGTGTGGAGATTCCTCTCCTGCAACTGTGTGTGTGTGTGTGTGTGTGTGTGTGTGTGTGTGTGTGTGTGTGTGTGTGTGTGTGTGTGTGTGTGTGTGTGTGTGTGTGTGTGTGTGTGTGTGTGTGTGTGTGTGTGTGTGTGTGTGTGTGTGTGTGTGTGTGTGTGATATCAGGATAGAGCCAAGGCCCATACAGAGGCCTGGGTATCTTCTGGGCCTGGGCCTCTTGGGGACCCTTTTAAAAGCAGCTAGGCCCCACTTCACAGCAGGACAGCTTGAGAAATGGATGGAAAAGTTTCTGAGGGAAATGGCTTCCTCTGGGAAACAGCTCTCAGACTCAGCCCCCTTTCAGTGTTCCCGACAATTTCTGCTTTCTGGGCAGAGATGTTAGGAAAACAGTGAGTCACATAGTGGATTCTGGGCCCACAAGGGCCACTCCCCCTTCCTCCTCATTGCCCTGGGAAGGACCAAGTGCCTGGGCTGGCTTTTTTTTTTTTTTGAGACAGGATCTCTCTATGTGGCTTTCAAACTGGCTTTAAATTCACAGTCCTAGCTGGGAACCAGTGGTTCATGCCTGTAATTCTCTCTAGTCAGGAGGCTGAGATCTAAGAATCACAGTTTAAAGCCAGCCCAGGCAGGAAAGTCCATGAGCCTTTCATATCTAATAAACTACCAAAAAAAAAAAAAAAAAAGGCTGGAAGTAGAGCTTTGGCTGAAGTAACAGAGCATTAGCCTTGGGGACAAAAGCCCAGATGCAGTGCCTAGAGTTCAAATTCCAGGACCAGCACACACACACACACACACACACACACACACACACACACACACACACACACGCACACACACACTAAGCCTGCTGCTGGTGGCTCACACCTGGAATCTTATACACTCAAGTGGCTGAGATCCGAGGATCATGGTTCAACCTGGACAAGAAAGCACATGAGACTTTTTTTCTTTTTGGTTGGTTGTGGGGCCTGAACTCTGGGCCTGGGTGCTGTCCCCCAGCTCTTCAGCTCAAGGCAAGCGCTTTACCACTTGAGCCACAGTACCACTTCTGGCTTTTTCTGCTTATGTGGTGCTGAGGAATCGAAGTTAGGGCCTCATGCATGCAAGGCAAGCACTCTACCACTGAGCCACTTTCACAGCCCTCATAAGACTTTTATCTCCAACTAGTCACCAAAAAAGCTGGAAGCAGAGTTGTGGCTCTGGTGATAGAGTGCTCAGGGAAAACACCCAGGCCTTGAGTTCAAGCTCAAAGACTGGCATGCATGCACACACGCACACACACACACACACACACACACACACACACACATCTAAATAAATAAATAAAATAATAACAGAGTCACCCTTCTGCAGCCTCCTGAGTAATGGGATGACAAGTATGTCCCATTCTGATAATATTTAAAGATATTCTTTTCTTTGTTTCTTTTTCTTTCTTTCTTTCTTTTTCTTTCTTTCCTTTCTTTTCTTTCCTTCCTTCCTTCCTTTCTTTCTTTCTTTCTTTCTTGCCACTCCTGGAGCTCAAACTCTAGGCTTGGGTGCTGTCTCTGAGCTCCTTTTTGCTCAAGGCTAGCACTCTACCACTTGAGCCCCAGTACCACTTCCAGCTTTTTCTGGTGGTTAATTGGAGATAAGTCTCACAGACTTTCCTGCCAAGCCTGGCTTTGAACCATAATCCTTAGACTCCTGAGTAGCTAAGATTAAAGGCATAAGCCGCCATGCCATTTAAAAATATTCTTAAGAATCCATCTTTCCCTGTCTCTTGGCTCTGTGTTCCCCTGTGTGGGCTACATTCCCAGGCTCCACATGGAGATCAAGTGACTGCCAGCAGCTTACATCAGCCTTGCTGTTTTGATATCTGGGGTAGGAGAGGTAGGGGGACAGAATATCAAGTATTGCTTCCCAGGGACTCTGATTATATCATACAAATCCTCCTCTGGGTTGGGCCCTGCAGCCCATGCTGCTCTGATTGGTCAGACCTGAAGTCCTTAGGGTGACATTGGCTCTGCCTCAGTCCTTGAGGACCAATGAAAAAGAGTGACTAGTTGTATTGCAGAAGACAGATTGGCCATTGGGCAGATAGGCATGCAAGATGCACACTCTGGCTACAGCACCTGTTGAGAGCAAGTGCCCAATTCAGAGTTCAAAACCTTAGCTGATGGGTACCAGTGGCTCGTGCCTGTAATCCTCAATACTTAGAAAGCTGAAATCTGATGCTCGGCTGACCCTACGACTCTTATCTTCACTTAGCCAGCAAAAAGCTGGAAGTGGAGGTATGGCTCAAGTGGTAGAGGGCCAGCCTTGAGTAAAATAAAAAAAAAGCTGGGCACTGGTGACTCATGCCTGTAATCCTAATTACTCAAGAGGCTAAGCTCTGAGGATCCCAGTTCAAAGCCAGCCCAAGCAGGAAAGGCCATGAGACTCTTATTGCCAATGAACCACCAGAAAACTTGAGCTGTGGCTCAAGTGGTAGAGTGCTAGCCTTGAGCTGAAGAGCTGAGGGACAGTGCCCAGCCCCAGAGTTCAAGCCCATGACCGATTAAAAAAAAAAAAAAAAAGAGGCCCTGAGTTCAGGCTAAGCATGTGAGCATGCACACGCACACACACACACGCACACACACAAATAAATATATAAATAAATAAAACCAAGCACTGGGCTCATGCCTGCAATCCTAGCTATTCAGGACAAGATCTAAGGATTGAGGTTTGAAGCCAGCCTGGCAGCAAAGTCCATGAGACTTTGGTGCTGGCAGAATCAGCACCAAAAAATAAAAAATAAAAACAACCCAAATCTCAAAGCCTCAGTATTGATTTAAAAAAAAATAAAAAGATGCTCACCCTGGGTCTACAATGGTTTCTACTCTGCCTCCCCTGTAAGACTCTTGAGAAAACTTTCTGAAGGAGAGGACATTTGGAGCCTGGCATTGGAGATTGAGTAGGAGTTCTCCAAGGAGCCACCCGGGGGCGATAGTGAGCTGGTAATCCAGTGAGTAGCTGGGTAGGTTTTAAGTAGGAAGCTGGATCATTGTCTCCTCTTGGTATTCTAGTGACTGTCCCTTCTGCCGGATCTGCCATGAGGGAGCCAATGGAGAGAGCTTGCTGTCCCCTTGTGGCTGCACTGGCACGCTGGGAGCCGTGCACAAGAGCTGCCTGGAGAAGTGGCTTTCCTCATCCAACACCAGCTACTGTGAGCTGTGCCACACGGAGTTTGCAGTGGAGAAGCGGCCTCGCCCTCTCACAGAGGTAAGTATTGCCAACTTGTGCTGGGGTGGGCCTGGCCTACGCAGGGGAAGAATGGCAGTGGGGGGAGTGGGGATGCAGATGCTACCCTGGGGGGCCCTGGGCTAGCTGGGGAAATGGACCTCCTTGCCATCCCTTTGTGACTAGGCCTGTGCTTACAGGCATGCCAAACCCTGTATCCTGACCTGCAAGTTCCTTTCCTTTTTTTTCCCCTTTTCTTTTGTGTGTGTGTGTATCTGCACGCATGCATGCGTGCTGTACTAGGGGCTTGCACTCAGGACCTGGGTCCTGTCTCTTAGCATTTTTCTTTTTTCTTTTTGGTTGGTAGTAAGGCCTGAACTCTGGGCCTGGGCGCTGCCCCTCAACTCTTCAGCTCAAGGCTAACACTCTACCACTTGAGCCACAGCACCACTTCCAGTCTTTTCTGCTTATGTGGTACTGAGAAAATCGAATGCAGAGCCTCATGCATGCAAGAGCCTCATTCATGCAAGGCAAGCACTCTACCACTGAGCCACCTTTCCAGCCCCTTAGCTTTTTTCTTGGTACTGACCCTGGGGCTTGATTCAGGGCTCTGTCCCTTAACTTATTCATGCAAGGTTGTTGCTCTATCACTTGACCCACAGCTCCATTGTCAGTTTTTTTTTTTGGGTCCGGTCATGGGGCCTGAACTCTGAGCCTGGGCGCTGTCCCTCAGCTCTTCAGCTCAAGGCTAGCGCTCTACCACTTGAGCCACAGTGCCACTTCCAGCTTTTTTCTTTTTGCTTATGTGGTCCTGAGGAATCGAACCCAGAGCCTCAGGCATGCAAGGCAAGCGCTCTACCACTGAGCCACCTTCCCAGCCCTTGTCAGCTTTTTTTATTTTGATAGTTAATTGGATAAGAGTTTCATGGGCTTTCTTGCCTACGCTGGCTTTGAACTGTAATCCTCATATCTCAGTCTCCTGAGTAGCTAGGATTACAGGTAAAAGCCACTGGTGCTTGGCTGTCCCTTAGCTTTTTCACTCAGCCCTGGAGCTCTACCACTTGAGCCACTCCTCCACTTCTGGCTTTTTGCTGGTTAATTGGTGATAAGAGTCTTATAGACTTTTCTGCTTCAGCCAGCTTCAAACTGCAATCCTTAGATCTTAGCCTCATGAGTAGCTAGGATTACAGGTATGAGCCACAGGTACCAGGTTTGCCATCCAATTCTTTATCTATCTACCTCAGCCTCCTATGAGCTGAGATTACAGATGTGTATTTCCACACCTAACTGAACTGTTAATATTCTTTATTTCTGAAAAGTTATTTATTACTTAATTTTTTTTTTTTTTGGTCAGTCATGGGGCTTGAACTCTGGGCTTGGGCGCTATCCATGAGCTTTTCAACTCAAGGCGAACGCTTTACTACAGAGCCACTTCTGGTTTTCTGGTGGTTTATTGGAGATAAGAGTTTCATGGACTATTCTGCCCATGCTGGCTTTGAACCCTGATCCTCAGATCTCAGCCCCCTGAGTAGTTAGGATGACAGGTGTGAGCCACCAGCGCAGGGCTCCTTAATATATTCTTAATAATCTGTGTATAAGACAAAGTTAGACCATGTAGAATTTTCCCCTTGTGACATCATTTAGAAAGTTTCAGGTTTTGGAGCTTTGCAGATTCAATCTGTACTACCAGTGTGAATTTACACAAACAAGTTTATCCTTGTATGACTCATTTTGCTCATCTGTAAAATGGGGGCAGACGTGGTCAACACCTCGCAGGCAGGAAAGAAATGAAGGACTGACTGAGGGAGGTGTAGGCCCGGTGTAGGCCTGCAGGGTCCCCCACCCCTCAGTTCTCTTTCCCCCCTATTTATCTGCTCCCCTACAGTGGCTAAGGGACCCGGGGCCTCGGACAGAGAAACGGACGCTGTGCTGTGACATGGTATGTTTTCTGTTCATCACGCCCCTGGCTGCCATCTCCGGCTGGCTGTGCCTGCGCGGGGCCCAGGACCACCTCCGCCTGCACAGCCGACTGGAGGCTGTGGGGCTCATTGCTCTCACCATAGCCCTCTTCACCATCTACGTCCTCTGGACACTGGTGAGTGACTGCAGGGGGAGGAGCTCAGCTGGGAGAGGCTGGGCCTGGGGTTTGCTCAGTGATAAGGTTAGGGAAAAGTTGTGTGTGTGTGTGTGTGTGTGTGTGTGTGTGTGTGTGTGTGTGTGTGTGTGTGTGTGTGTGTGTGTGTGTGTGTGTGCAGGGCCTGGGTGTATATGGGTCGAAGCCATTCCCTAATTCACCTTGCCTTGGGGAGCTCCAGATTTTTATTATTATTATTTATTATTTTTCTTTTTGGTCCGGTCGTGGGGCCTGAACTCTAGGCCTGGGCACTGTCCCTCAGCTCTTCAGCTCAAGGCTAGCGCTCTACCACTTGAGCCACAGCGCCACTTCCGGCTTTTTTCTTATGTGTTGCTGAGAAATCGAACCCAGGGCCTCTGGCATGCAAGGCAAGCGCTCTACCACTGAGCCACCTTTCCAGCCCTATTATTATTATTTATTTTATTTTATTTTTTTGCCAGTTCTAGGGCTTGAACTCTGGGCTTGGGCGCTGTCCTTGGCTCCTCTTGCTCAAGGCTAGCACTCTACCACTTGAGCCACAGTGCCACTTCCAGCTTTTTCTGTGACTAATTGGAGATAAGAATCTCATGGGCTTTCCTGCCAAAGCTGCCTTCAAACCACAATCCTCAGATCCCAGCCTCCTGAGTAGCTAGGATTAATGTGTAAGCCACTGGAGCCCAGCGTGGGAGCTCCAGATTCTGAGCTTGACAAAGATTTAGGGAAATTTGAACCAGGTGACATAGCAGAGAGAGAGAGACTGAGACAGAGAGACAGAGACAGAGCATGCACAGCAAAAGCATAAGCAAGAAAGACTCAGAGAAAGGGAGATGGGAGAGATATTGAGAAATTAGGGAACCCAGACACCAGTGTCTCATGTCTATAATTCTAGGTACTTAGGAGGCTGAGATCTGAGGATCCTGATTTGAACCCAATCCTGCTAGACCAATTTGTTAAGACTTTTTTTTTTGCCAGTCCTGGGGTTTGAACTCAGGGTCTGGGCACTGTCCCTGAGTTTCTTTTGCTCAAGACTAGTGCTCTACCACTTAATCCAGCACTACTTCCAGCTTTTTCTGTTTATGTGGTACTGAGGAATGGAACCCAGGGCTTCATGCATGCAAGGCAAACACTACCACTAACCCACATTCCCAGCCCATTGTTAAGACTCTTATCTCCAGTTTCCCAGCAACAAGCTGCAGGTGGAGACATGGTAGAGTGCCAGCCTTGAGTGAAAAAAACCAAGGGAGAGCATAAGGCCCTGAGTTCAAGTCCAGTACTGGCATATACACATGCATATACCCCCTCCCCAAAGACACCAAAATAAATGAACAAAAAAAGAAAAGAAAAAGAGATTGAGGAATGCCAACTATAGTGGCTCCCACCTGTAATCTCAGCATTTGGAATCCTAAGGGAAGAGATAGTTTCAAGGCCAGCCTGGGCTACATAGAGCCAGACTGAGGATGTGGATCCAGTAGAAGAGCACTTGCTTCGCAAGCGTGAGGCCCAGAGTTCAATCCCCAGTACTGCCCCCCACCCAAAAGAAATTGGAAGAGATGTCCGTAAATACGTACAATTTATATGTTCTTATGAATCCATGAGAAAACACAAAAAGAAACTGGGAGAATGAGACAGACAGATGAAGGACTGAGACCAAGGATGGAAGGGAGAGAGACTGAAGCAGAGAGGGGGACTTGTATTAGAGGAAGTCTCCCACACTGTCAGACCTCACACTCCACTATTGTCCAGCTCCGGGAAAACTAACCCTCAAGAAGTAGTGTTCAGGGCTGAAGCCCAGTGGTAGAACTTGTGCTGATCCCAGGAGAGGCCCTGGCTTCCATCCCAGCACTCCAAAAGCAATGTTGTTTTTCTTTTTCTTTTTTTTTTGGCCTGTCTTGGGGCTTAAACTCAAGGCCTAGGCACTGTCCCTGAGCTTCTTTTGCTCAAGGCTACCACTCTACCACTTGATGGGGCTGAGAAGGTGGCTCAGTGGTAGAGTGTTCAGGCCCCACAACCAACAAAAACAAAAACCCCACTCTACCACTTGTGCCACAGTACCACTTCTGGCTTTTTCTGTTTATGTGGTACTGAGGAATGGAAACCAGGGCTTCATGCATGCTAGGCAAACACTACCAGTAACTAACCACATTCCCAGACCTTATTTTTCTTTTAAGCAATGGGGTCTTGCTGTGTTGCTCAGGCTGGTCTAGACTCATGGCTCAATGCTTCAGTGTTTCATGTACTGGAGACTACAGGCCTATGTCACTGTACCTGTCTCTAAAAACTTCTTTTCTTTTTGTGTAGTACTAGGATTTGAACTCAAGGCTTAATATTTGCTAGGCAGACTTTTTTTTTTGGTACTGTTCCTGAGCTTCTTTGCTCAAGGCTAGTGCTTTACCCTTGAGCCACAGCTTCACTTCAAGGTTTTTCTGAGTGGTTAATAGGAGATAAGAGTCTCACAGATGGGCTGGGAAGGTGGCTCAGTGGTAGAGTGCTTGCCTTGCATTCATGAGGCCCTGGGTTTGATTCCTCAGCACCACATAAGCAGAAAAAACTGGAAGTGGTGCTGTGGCTCAAGTGGTAGAGCACTAGTCTTGAGCTGAAGAGCTGAGGGACAGCACCCAGGCCCAGAGTTCAGGCCCTATGACTGACAAAAAAAAAAAAAAAACTCTCAAGGACTTTTCTGCCTTTACTGCCTTTAAACTGAGTTCTTCAGATCTCAACCTCCTTAGTAGCTAGGATGACAGGTGTGAGCCACTAGCACCATCTTAGGCAGACACTCTTACCACAGGAGCCACACCCCCAACCTTCTTTGGGCTTTAGATATTTTTCAGGTATGATCTTAAGTGTCTTTTGTTTTGGCCAGTCATGGGACTCAGAGCCTAGGAGCTCTTTTTGCTCAAGGCAGGTGCTCTACAACTTCGGTTTTCTGGTGGTTCATTGGAGATAAGAGTCTCATGGACTTTTCTTCCCAGGCTGGCTTTGAACCATGATTCTCAGATTCAGTCTCCTGAGTAGCTACGATTACAAGCACCCAGCTGGTCTCAGTTTGATTTTTGTTTTTGTCAGTTGTGGGTTTTGAACTCTGGCCCTGGGCAGATAATTGGAGATAAGGGTCTCATGGACTTTGCTGCCCAGGCTGGCTTTGAACCACAGTCCTCAGATCTCAGCCTCCTGAGTAGCTAGGATTACAGGTATGAGCCACCAGTGCTCCATAGGTCTCAAGATTTTTTTTTTTGGGTCCGGTCGTGGGGCCTGAACTCTGGGCCTGGGTACTGTCCCTCAGCTCTTCAGCTCAAGGCTAGCACTCTACCACTTGAGTCAAGCCCCACTTCTGGCTTTTTCTGCTTATGTGGTGCTGAGGAATCGAATCCAGGGCCTCATGCATGCAAGGCAAGCGCTCTACCACTGAGCCACCTTCCCAGCCCTACGTCTCAAGATTTTGACTCAGTATTCTGTACCATGATCCTTCTACCTATCCTTCCCAAGTAGCTAATATTGCAGAAGTGAATCACTTTACTCAGCTTACTCTAGGATGGCCTTAAACCCTAATTTTTCTGATCTTTGCTTTTTAAGTGTCTGTGATTACAATTGTAAGCCACTATGCCTGTCTTGAAAAATATTTTTTTTTCTCTCTCTCTTTTTAAATTTTTGGCAGTATTGAGGTTTAAACTCATACTTGCTAGGCTGGTGTTCTACCACTTGAGTCATGCTCCAGTCTTTTTTGCCTTTGTTAATTTTTAAAGGTCTTTTATATCCTGGCTAGTCTGAATTTCAACACTCTTATTTACACTTCCTTACCAAGCTGAGATGACAGGCATAAATCACCAGGCCCAGCTGCTTTTTTTTTTTTTTTTTTTTTTTTGGGTCTGGTCGTGGGGCCTGAACTCTGGGCCTGGGCGCTGTCCTTCAGCTCTTCAGCTCAAGGCTAGCGCTCTTCCACTTGAGCCATAGCGCCACTTCTGGCTTTTTTCTTTTTGCTTATGTGGTGCAGGGGAATCGAACCCAGAGCCTCATGCATGCAAGGCAAGGGCTCTACCACTGAGCCACCTTCCCAGCCCCACCAGGCCCAGCTTCTTATTGGTTGAGATAAGACCTCATGAACTTTTTGCTCCAGACTGGCCTTTAACATTGTCCTCTGGATCTAAGTCTCTACAGTAACTATGATTACAGGTGGAACCTCTATGCCTGGGTGAAACTTACTTCTTGAAAGAAGCTGGTTACAGTGGTTCAACTTTTTGGAAGGTGGATTACTAGAGCTCTTCATTTGAGACCAGCCTGGGCAACAAAGTGAGACCCTAACTATGAGTGAATGAACAAATGAAGAATGACTATTCAATGCACTTACCAGTATAAATAGTCATGCATTGTGTAGTGATGTTTTCTATAACAGACCCAATAGTGGTCTCCAAAGAGTATGTTGCTAATAATAACATAGCTGTTATAGTATATAAAGACATCATGTTAGTTGGGAATGTGGTTTAATGGTAGAGTGCTTGCTTAGCATGCATGAAGTCCTGGGTTCAATTCTTTAGTACCACAGAAACAGAAAAAGCCAGAAGTGGCACGGTGGCTCAAGTGGTAGAGTACTAGCTTTGAGCGAAAGAAGCTCAGGGACAGTGCCCTGAGTTCAAGACCCAGGACTGGCACATCATCCTTGAACAAGAAAGCTAAGGGATAGCACCCAGGCTCTGAGTTCAAGCCTCAGCCCAAAAAGCAAAAAAAGGGGACTGGGAATGTGGCTCAGTGGTAGAGTGCTTGCCTTGCATGCATAAGGCCCTAGGTTCAATTCCTCAGCACCACATAAGCAGAAAAAGCCAGAAGTGGCATTGTAGCTCAAGGTAGAGCACTAGCCTTGAGCTGAAGAGCTGAGGGACAGCGCCCAGGCCCAGAATTCAGGCCCCACAACCGACAAAACAAAACAAAATGAAACAAAAAAGCAAAAAAAAAATTCCAATCAGTAATCAATTTAGGACTTTTTTTGTGTATATGTATGTGTGTGTATATGTGCCGATTCTAGGGCTTGAACTTAGGGCCTGGAGCTGTTCCTGAGCTTTTTTGCTCAAGGCTGACATTCTACCCCTTGAGTCACACATAACCCCATTTCTAGCTTTTTGCTGGTTAGTTGGAAATCAGTCTCCTAGACTTTCCTGCCTGGGCTACCTTTGAACCCTTGATCCTCAGATGTCAGCCTCCTGAGTAACTAGGATTACAGGCTTGAGCCATGGGTGTCTGGCATCCATGACTGCATTTGTAAAATAGAAACAGTATGAAACCAAAGATACTGTTTTGCAATCTGCTCCTTTTCACTTTGCTGATGTCCTTTGGGAAGAAAAAAAAAAAAAAAAAGGCAGCCAGCCAGCAGTCCTTCATTGTTTGAGTGTGCCATATTTATTTAGCCAATCCCTTTGACAGACACTGGGATTCTTTCCAGTGTGGCTTTATTCCTCTTTCCCTTCTTCCCTCTTCCCTTTCTCTCCCCCCTTTTTCTCTTTCTCTCTTCCTCTCTTTTCTTTTTCTTTTTGCAGGTCTTGGAGCTTGAACTCAGTGCCTGGGCACTGTCCCTGAGCTTCTTTTGCTCAAGGCTAGCGCTCTACCACTTAAGTCACAGTACTACTTCCAGCTTTTTCTGAGAAGTTTATTGGAGATAAGTCTCACAGACTTCCCTGTCAGGGCTGGGTTTGAACTGCAATCCTCAGATCACAGCCTCCTGAGTAATTAAGATTATAGGCATGAGCCAGGAGGAGTGCCCAGTTCCTCCTCCCTTTCTTTTTCTCTTTCTCTCCTTCCTATCCTTCCTTCCCTCATTCCTTCTTTCTCTCCCTTCTTCCTCCTCTCCTTCTATCCCCCCTGCTTCTGCCTCTGTTTCCCTAGAGTTGGGATGGAAACCAGGGTCTGACACATGTTAATTAGACAATCACTCTACCACTGAGCCACACCTTCTTTTTAGCACAGGATAATACTAGATAGATGTGCATTCATTCATTCATTCACATAGTGAGGTGCTCTTAGGCTTCCATGTTATGTGGCTGACTGACATTGAATCCTTTTCCAAGAGCCTGGATGATTTCATTCCCCCAAAGCAGAAAAGGGAGGCGGGGTGCTGGATTCTTGCTGGGGTGCTGGAATGCCTCACTTTTCAGGACTCTCTGAGGCCCCTTTTCCTCCTTTGGGCATGGAGCCTCTCTGGACCTTCCCCCTGACAGCAGGACTGCTCCACAGGTCTCTTTCCGCTACCATTGCCAGCTGTATTCCGAGTGGAGGAGAACTAACCAGAAAGTTCGGCTAAAGATCCGGGACACAGATGGCTCTGAGAACTCACGCCAATCACCACTGGCTGCTGGACTCCTTAAAAAGATGGCGGAGGAAACCCCTGTGTGAAAGCCAGGCTGCCAGGACCCTGCAGTGTGTACAGGGGCCAGAGTGACCTGGCAATGCCCTGGCATTTGGAAGGCCGGAAACTGCCCGATCCTTCTTGCACGGCCAGAATGCTTCTCAGGCTGAAAACCACGCCAATTGGAGATCCTGTGTGAATATAGTTTGGGTTTTTTCTTTCTTTGCACACTAGTACATGACAAAGACAGACGGACGTGGTCCTGAGCTTGGATGGAGCAGGCACTCTGATCTCTCATGTGTGCTTGGCGCCTCTTGGGCCAGCAACTGTGGCCAGTTGTGTCAAGGGTGTCCTTTGGGCTGGAAGGTTCCAGCAAGCTTCTTGCGCTTTTCTGCACCTTGGCAGGCTTGCTTTCCTGGCACCCTTGACTTTATAAAGTTGCACTGCGTTTCCAAAACCCACCCCTGAATGAATAAAAGGAGCTCTTGCTGGACAAAATGGATTTGTCAGGTACATTTCTAAACTGCTCAAAGGGAAGGACTATCTGAGGGAAAATATAAACATCTTGGCTTGTTTTGAGGGATCCCTTATTAAGCCCCCCCCCCCCCCCCCGGGGAAGAAGCAAGCTGAGTTTTAAAGTGAGGAGCAGGTCGCAGGGTTTTATAATAAATGCTTAAGATGAGCTTGGCATTGCACCCTTGTAATATCAGCCCTGAGAATTCTGAGGTAGGATTGCATGTTCTATACAATCATAGCTTAGGCTATATTTAATAAATGATTTAAATGTATACAATGGGTTGGGGTATGGCTCAGTAGTAGAACATGTGGTTAGTCTATGTGAAGCCCTGGTATTGTAAAACAGTTTCTTTGCATTGTCCATGAGTAGGCTAGTTCCTTGGCATTTATTACTCACTAGTGGTGCTACTGTCCACGTTTATCTGGTGTCACCATGGATGAGGCCCCATTTTGAGTTTTCTTGGGTCTCCTCCCCTTCTCTGAGTCCTGCTATCAGTTATAGGTGATTAAATTTGAGATCCAGTGCAGAAAAACCTTTATCTGAATCCTTACAAAGCTGCCCTGATCAAGGCTGAGCTGTGTGTCTTACCTTCTAGGATGACAGAAAAGAAGTTGAATGTGGTCATGCTCATAGGACCTATTTCTTGAACACTTGTGTGTGTGTGCTGGTACTAGGGCTTGAACTCAGGGCCTAGGCACTGTTCTTAGTTTTTCCACTCAAGGCCAGCTCTACTACTTGAACTGTGACTCTTAAGAGTGTCACAGACTCTCCTGCTGGGGCTAGCTTCAAATTTTGATCCTCAGATCTTAGCCTCCTGAGTAGCTAGGATTGCAGGTGTGAGCCATGGGTGTCCAGCTTTCTGATCACTATTTGTCTGCTGAGCTAGTTCCATTCCAGGGCTCTGTTTACATTTAATGCTCAGCCCTGAAAGAGGGCTTCTGGGGAATCTCTCTTTCTCTCTCTTTTTTTGCCAGTTGTGGGGTCTGAACTCTGGGCCTGGGCACTGTCCCTTAGCTCTTCAGCTCAAGGCTAGCGTTCTAACACTTGAGGCACAGCACCACTTGTGGCTTTTACTGCTTATGTGGTGCTGAGGAATTGAACTCAAGGCCTCATGCATGCAAGGCAAGCACTCTACCACTGAGCCACCTTCCCAGCCCTGGGGAATCTCTTTTTAACCCCCAGTTTACAGATGTGCAACAAACTGAGCTCAGAACAGTTGGGTAAGTTGCTCAAGGTTACAACTGATGGATTTGCTTTCTGTTGTTTTTGCACAAATATAGTCCTGATACATAACTCTTTTTTTTTTTTTTCCATGGGGCCTGAACTCTGGTCCTGAGCACTATCCCTCAGCTCTTCAGCTCAAGGCTAGCACTCTACCACTTGAGCCATAGTGCCACTTCTGGTTTTCTGGTGGTTTATTTGAGATAAGAGTTACACTGCTTTTCCTTCTCAGACTGGCTTTGAACCATAATCCTCAGCTCTCAACCTCCTGAGTAGCTAGGATTACGGGTGTAAGCCACCAGTGCCCTGCATAACTCACTTATAAAGAAGAAAAAGAGGGGCTGGGAAGGTGGCTCAGTGGTATAGTGCTTGCCTTGCATATATGAGGCCCTGGGTTCTATTCCTCAGCACCACATAAGCAAAAAGAAAAAAGCCAGAAGTGGCGCTGTGGCTCAAGAGGTAGAGCGCTAGACTTGAGCTGAAGAGCTGAGGGACAGCACCAGCCCAGAGTTCAGGCCCCACGACCGGGCCCCCCCCCCCCAAAAAAAAAAAAAAAAGAAGAAAAAGATATGCTAAGATGGGAAGGGAAAGGGGAAGCCAGTTTTGCAAAGGGGAAAAACCCAGGTGCTGGTGGCTCATGCCTGTAAGCCTAGCTATTCAGAAGATTGAGATCTGAGGATCATAGTTCCAGAGGCTGTGACTCTATCTCCATTTAATGAGCAAAAAGCCAGAAGTGAAACTGTGGCTTAAGTGGTAGAGTGTCAGCCTTGGGTGGGAAAAGCTGAGAGAACTCCAGGCCTAATTCACGCCCAGTACTGGAAGAAAAACAAAACAACTAGAAAACAAATGTTGGGAGCTGCTAGGCCTGTAGGAAAGAGAGTGGAGAAGACTTGGAAAGGCTGGAACCTTGAGATTGCTCATTCCGGCTCAGGCAGGTGGGCGGGGCCTCACAGACATCAGGTGAGTGGCGAGCTGCTTGTGTTTTCTTGGGATCATAGCCAAGCACGTTAGCTCTCTTGGCCTCTCCTAAGGAGCCACACAGCTTGGAACTCACTTTGGAATGTGGCGCCCCTAGAAATGATGTAGGGATGCTCCAGAGATGCCATTAAGGAGAGGAAGCAGTTTCCTTTGTAAATCTAATACTTTCCGATTACACGAGGGAGAAAGGTCAAGTTTGATGTTACCCTGTCTATAATAATCCTTTAGACCTTGCAGGACCCCACCTCTGGTTACAGAAAGATGGCAGTGACTAGGTCCAGGTGGGTGCATGTAAGTTTGCGAAGAGCGATGCTTCTCCAACTTGACTTGTTGGGCCGGCAGAGTGTTTGAACCCAAGTTTGTCCCAGGCAATGAATGAAAGCCACGAAACGGTTAGTCTCCGGCTGCGGGGGGCGAGGGGGCGTGGCCCTGGGTGAGGGGCGTGGCCCGAGGCTTCCAGTCGCGGCGCGCGCAGGCGTTACTGGTCACGTCGGGTCACGTGAGTGCGCAGGCGCATTTCCGCGCAGCTCCGCTCTCTTACACAAAGCCCAGACGCGGAGAAAATGGCGGCAGGGGTCGAAGCAGCGGCGGAGGTGACGGCGACGGAGCCCAAAATGGAGGAAGAAAGCGGCGCGCCCGGCGTGCCAAGCGGCAACGGGGCTCCGGGTCCGAAGGGGTGAGTATCCCAGGGTTCCTGGCTCCCGGGTCGGGCTCCCGGTCGGCGGCCTCCCCCTCAGCGCGGCCTTGGCTCGGGCCTTTCGCTGCAGGTGGTGGGGGCAGCCAAGGCTGTGAGGCGGGGATCCGGACGGCCCCGCGGTGCGTCTCCAGGCTCGTTTCCTGCCGTTGCCGGGCCTTAAGTACCTCAGGGCCAGACAGGCACCGTTGGCGGTGCAGCCGCTGCGCGTAGCGGGGTGATGGCGCGGGTTCTGGAGTTGGAGATTGCCGAGTTCGAGACCCGCTTGCTTCTGAAACTGATCTTGGACGAGTGGTTTCAACCCCTCTCCCAATCCCCGGGGCCTTTCGGCCTCGGATCTCAGTTTCCCGAGCCTAAGAGTGGGGGGAGGGGGGGGGGGAGAGTGCGCGCGCAAAGCCTCTCGCGCGGTCAGCCGGGGATAAACGGCTGCCGAGCCGGAGTCGGGGATCCTACTCCACCCCCTACCCCCACCCCACCCCACCCCTCGGCTTGGTCCCTGCCTTCGAACCTCCCCGGCTGGTCCCGGCCCAATGAGTCCTCCGATGCTTCTCGCGCCTCCTCCCCAGGTGCGCAGTAGGTATTAGTAGAGAATTGCTACTCTGTTGAGAAAGGGAGATAACTCCGTTATTTAGGGTCACCCGTTTCCACATTCCCATCATCTTTCTCATCTTTCAGAGCCCTGCTTTGAACTCAGCCTTAGGGTCCCTGGTTGTTGTTGTTTTGTTGTTGTTGTTTTTGGTATTATTTTGTGTGTGTCTTTTTGTTTGTTTTTGTTTGTTTCCTTAAAGGAGGAAAGGATCAGCTGTGTTGCCTTGGAACTCAAAATAGCAGTCACTTGAGAAAAAGACTCAGAGAAGGGTTTTTGGCTTCAAATGCCAGCAGTCGTGGGCACGCAGTGCTAATATCCGTTCTCCCCCCCCCCCCCCATTTCCCTACATAAGATTTGCCATTTTTAAGTGTGCAGTTCAGTTGACATTGACCGTGTTGGGCAACTGTCACCACTGTCCTTGTTCTGAACTTGTTTTGTTTTCATCCTGTGAATAAAATGTAAAATGTAGCCATCAGCCACTAAACTCCTCCCCCCCCCCCCAATTTCCTGCTGTGCTTTGCTCAAACTTTTTAAGGAGTGAAACTTTGTGATACACTCTGCGGATTGAAAGTAAATGTATTTAATGAGCATGCACTTGAGTATTGGCTACTTTACTATTATGTTTCTTCTGTAAGAAATTCCAGCCTCTTAGGTGAGGAAGAAAAACAGTTTCTGGTCCTTGGAAATCAAAGAGAAAGGGCTGGGAATGTAGTTAAGTAGTTCACTGCTAGTTTAATCCTCAGTTCTGAGGGCAACAACAAAACAGCAACAAGAGAAAAGTGTCCTCTGTTCCCAACACCTTACTGTGGAAGCCTCTGAATAGGGATGTGTCTTCCTACCCATTTGTTGGTGGTGTTGATGTGGGGGAGAGAGGGCTTGAATATGTGTTATAGCGAAGTATTGTACTAAGAATATTCCTAGCTTCATTTTGACTTTTTTCAGCATTTGTTCCCAGAAGACTTGTTGAAGGGCCTATTTGGAGGGCTTTAAAGATACTTTTATGTTGGGGCTGGGAAGGTGGCTCAGTGGTAGAGTGCTTGCCTTGCATGCATGAAGCCCTGGGTTCAATTCCTCAGCACCACATAAGCAAAAAGAAAAAAGCCGGAAGTGGCGCTGTGGCTCAAGTGGTAGAGCGCCAGCCTTGAGCTGAAGAGCTGAGGGACAGCGCCCAGGTCCAGAGTTCAGACCCCACAACCCTGCCCTCCCCTCCCCCCAAAAAAGATACTTTTATGTCCACATAGGAGTACTGCTACAACCTTTATAGGTGAGAGTTAAATTTGTTGAGGATTATAGCACTGGGACTAAATTTTAGGCAAATTTTCCACTGTCCATTTTCTTTTTTTATATGCTTTTTTTTAATTGTAAAAATAGTGTATGGTTACATGAGTAAGGTAGTGAGTATATTTCCTATCTAGCACTGTTACCTCCTCCTTTTGTTTTTCCCCTACCATCCCTTCCTTCCCCACCTCCCCAATTTCTCCATCCCCCCCCAAGTTGTAAAGT